GCTCACTTAGTTTTGAAATTCAATCGCAAAGTTCTGTTTGTTCCTTTCTCGGGGGGTTCTATGCCTCTTTGACTCAGAATATATAATACGCATAATACGCATGTGCAATGGCCCCAAAACGGGGGTACTCATTTCATACTCAAGAACTTGCTGCATCTCATCTCCCCAACAAGAATGATAAGCTCCGACCGCTCACTTAGTTTTGAAATTCAATCGCAAAGTTCTGTTTGTTCCTTTCTCGGGGGGTTCTATGCCTCTTTGACTCAGAATATATAATACGCATAATACGCATGTGCAATGGCCCCAAAACGGGGGTACTCATTTCATACTCAAGAACTTGCTGCATCTCATCTCCCCAACAAGAATGATAAGCTCCGACCGCTCACTTAGTTTTGAAATTCAATCGCAAAGTTCTGTTTGTTCCTTTCTCGGGGGGTTCTATGCCTCTTTGACTCAGAATATATAATACGCATAATACGCATGTGCAATGGCCCCAAAACGGGGGTACTCATTTCATACTCAAGAACTTGCTGCATCTCATCTCCCCAACAACCTAGCATACATGCTGGCTTCACAACTAAGCATCAAAATGAAGTCTGCGCGCAGGCCAAAGGGCCCAACTATGACCAACATACACTGTACAGAAATTCTATTTCAAATTTCGCACAAAGAAACATCTGTTCTACGTCCTAGAGGAATAATTTGAAACTGTATGTAGAGATCAAGGAGCTAATGTTTTAAGTTAGTTGTCTAGAGTCACCATTGATACATTTCTAGCTAATAATGACCTTCCATACATGATCGAATGTTCCCTGGGGTCATATCACTTTACGGGAAGAAAGTTGCGCAGGAAGAAAGCTTCTCAAATTGGGAAACTTTTGGAATCAACCTTGCGAAAGAAGCGAAATAGGAGCTTTGCAAAAACAAACTTTCGCGTTTAAGCGAAAATCATGGACTTTGCTTGAAAAAAATTTCTATTCAATTGAGGTTTCCTTCTATTTTTATTCCACATGATACCAGCAAAACAACGAAAAAGATGTAAAATTTGTCCAACAGAATAATTCTTTGTCAAAGTTGTCAAGAGGATCCTCGCAAAGGTTCCTTCCCTCGCAAGTTTCTTCTCGTGAAAATTTCTTTCCGCGAAAGTTTCTTCATTGAAAGTAGTAAACAACAGTTAAAGGCCTTCCCCTGCTGCCTTTAAGTTTTTCTTTTCTCTGAAACCCTCTGCAAGGTGCATGTTTAAAAGTTATAATGAAGTTTTCCTGTTTGCTAATTGTTAAATGAACAACGTGTTTAGAATAATAAAGTTTGGTACAGACTAAGGAATCTGTATCGTTTTAATTTCTCTCAATGAATAAGTTTGTAGGTCACTAGATTTCAAATTGTAGCTAAGCTACTAACCTAGACTAGTGCTTCCTAAAATCCTAACCCGTTTGATAGTAAACCAACATTGTTCCGTGGGGGAGAGGGGGATGATTTGTTTTGACCTTGGAAATTGATGTCAGTGTTCCAAGACTTGTGGCAGGCATTGGTCCGCAATTTACAAGGCGACATTCGTTTACACATTCGATTAGACATTCGCGTTCTCGTTTACACATTCGGAGGGTTTTTGTTTGGTGTAGCAAAATTAGGCTTGTAATGCAATAACCAATTGCAAAAAAATTAAGCCACACTATTGAAATTTGTTTCAGTTGCAACAAAATCGGAGGAAAGTCTCTCCTTTTTCAGAAAGCGTATTGGTTTTGACAGTGACCACACTTAGGCCCAAAAATAGACATTCGAGAAACTTCACGAACATTCGAAGCAAAAACTCTTTTTCTAAAGAAAAAACCCAATATAAAATAAAAACTCAAAACAAAACATATAGGTATATTATTAGGCCATGCTCACCTGCAAATATTTTTCAATTTCCTGGAATATTTTCAGAGAAACAGATCAAAATCGACTCTAAGCCACTCAAAGCGACTCACAGCACTCTAAGCCTAAAACAAATAGACAATATTTCAATAAAAAAAGCCGACAAAGGAGGCAAAATTGTACTATGGCCTAAAGACATGTATTTACGCGAGGCCACAAAACAACTTGATGATGCAAACTTTTACAAAGAACATCCAGTAGATCATACAATCGAAACATCCGCCGAGATTACAACTTTTTTAACACATCTCCTCCACAACTACCGTATTGATGAAACACTTTTCGAATATCTTACACCTAACACGAAGGTTCGAACACCGGTGTGATACTAGAATCTGCGTGGCAACCAAATCTGCGTGGGCCCACTCCAAATCTTTTTTTGCGTCTGGATCATCTAATTTGCATAACAGAGGCCGCTCTGCATGCAGCCCATGCGAAAGCTATTTTGGTCGCCTGTACCTTGCATAATGTCATAAAATCTTACAACAGAGGTTCTCTTCAAAAAAGCTCTCGCCCTGGATTAAATTTTTTTTCAATCCCCCAAAGGTTTTTAATCGAGAAAGAAAAGAAAGATACAACATTTTAGTCCAAGATTGATAGCACATACATTCGGCCACAAATTAGTATAAGACCTCACGGAGAAAAATGCTGATATACACTTTTTCTAAATTATAATTTTATTTCAAGAAATTTATAAAAGGCATCTCTTAGGTCCTCAAATTTGATTCCGACTTCTAAAATGGCTGCAAGGGGGAGCAGGAGCAGTTTTGTCCCAGGTTCTCAAGGTCTGTTATCATGGACACTGGAAGTGGAACGACTTAAGAGCAAGGGGACAAGCTTGAGTAAAGGGTCTTTGAAAATGATTTTCAGCTTCTACTCATTCCTCCTACTAACTACTAACTGACATTTTATTTCAATCTTCTGTTCGTATCTTGAAATTTGGCTAACTTTGGCATAAGGATTTATTTTACAAGTTTTGAGAAATGTCGTCATGAATTGAGCACTGCAATCAGAATTTCAACGGAATCTCTCTGATTTTTACAATGGGGCGGTTTCAAGGGTACTTTAATCAAATGGGCACGCTGGCCCCTCTTGCCCCTCCTATCAAAAGGCAACAGGGGCGGTTGACCCTCACGCCCCATTCTCCGGCGTCCCTGTTTGTAATGTTTCGTAATGTAATTCTTTTTTAAGAAAGGAATCAACAAACATAACAAATGCAAAGGTAAATTTTTTAAACAATTGCAAGAAAATTACTGTAAGAAAAATTCTGAAATGTATCCTAAGCTAAACTAAAGACTGGTGTCTTATTAAGTAATAAATTTCAATTTAAATCAGGATTTGTTAAAAGAAACAAAATTACGCCTGAAAATGTAAAAGGTTTAAAATAAATAAATAAATGCAAGCTAAGCTTAAAGGCGTGGTCGCGATGGCCCCTGCCATTGAATAAGCCCCTAATCGTATTATGCGGATTCTTATCCATGATAAATTGAACATATTTGGAGAAATGAAGGTAAATAAATAAAAAGAAATTCCAAAATGCTTTTGACATTGATGTAAACATCGATTTTTTAGAAATGTTCAATTCTCATAGTGAATTGAAAAACTAAAAGAGCCTTTGATAATGGGCTAATTTATTTCAATTTTCAGATGATTCTTTTTTTTCCCACCCTTGTTTAAGCCCTTCTCTTCAATTTGCTCTTACTATAATTAACAAACTACCAAAAGAGGGAGGGGCCAATTTAAAGATTTACATAATAAAATTAAAAAAATACTACTAGGTAGAAGTTGCTCAAAAAAATTACCTTCCAACTATCATTAAAAAATGGTAATATTAAGGTGTAGTAATTACCACTTTGTGCAGTATTGTACACTGGTACCAGAGCAACATAAATTCGAGCGCGGAAATTAGAAGATACGAGTGTATAAGCGGAGGACGTTCCT